TCCCTCTCTGCCAGACGGGGGCCCTACCGAGCTGGGGTGACAACGAATCTGAAAGAAGTTAAGGAGAGAAAGAAAATAGGCGGGGTTTTAAAAAAGGGTCGAGGGGGGGACAACGCGGAAAGTTACGAATTAAATGACCCGGGATTGATTGTTTTCGCAATCACGTTCGCAGCACATTTGTGTGCTTTTAGCACGACGCGCACATAGTATCAGTGTCGATACCGACAGTATGTATTGGGTAACCCCCCATTTAGATGGAGTACGGAAGGCACAAGTTGGGTCACCAATTTCGTATACAATAATAAATAAAAAAAACATTATTTTGGTAAAATTATTAATTTTGAACGATTTAAGTTACTGGGGGTATGTATGGTTTGAGTTGATCGACATTGTAAGTACCATGGGGCGTATCATCATCTGGGTTGACTAATTCATAGGCGTTGATATTTTTGACATTTTTTATTTTAAAGGGACCATCGTATAATAAGAAGAATTTAGATATTTTTTTGTCGATTTTATTACTGAGTTTATGTGTTCGGGCTAAGACTAGATCATTTATTTTGAAAAAAGTGGGGTTAAGACGTTCTTGGTGATATTTTTTACGATATTCGGATTTTGAGAGTTGTACCTCTTGTGCTAATATTAATTGTTTGTTGAAATCTACAGGATAATTTTCATGAGGGAATTGTATAAATTGAGTGATGGGATTGTGTTGATGATTTTGAAGAAAGAGGGCCGAGGGGGTGTGATGTGTCGATTCGTGGCGAATGTTATTTAATGTCCACTCTATGTAAGGTACATATTGGGGCCAGAGGGAATGTTGTTTGTGGCAGTACGTACGAAACATTCAACCAAGTTCTCGCATGACACGCTCTGCGGGGTTTGATTGGGGATGGTATATACTGGTATGGGACACTTGTACGTTATATTTTTGAAGGGAGGTTTGCCAATATTTGCTTATGAATTGCCTACCGTGGTCGGATACTATATTTTTTGGGACGCCGTAATTGGGGAAATAATCCGTGGTTAACTTTTTAATACATATTTTTGCGTTGGCGCATCGGAGGGGGTATAATTTTACAAAACGGGTGAAGTTATCTACAATGACGAATATATAGGAAAATTGAAAAATACCGGTAGGGAGGGGACCATAAAAATCGACTAATAATTTATCAAGGGGCTTATTTGARAGAATGGGTTGTAACGGACCGGCWATGCGAGTGGTCTTCGGCTTGCACTTCTGACACAACTCACATGCTCGTACGATACAACGGACGGTTTTATTAAAGGAGGGGAAATAACAAATATTTTTTAAAGTATGAGCAGTTTTAAGGGGACCGGTGTGGGCATAATAATGATGGAATAATAATACAACTTGTTTGACCAAATGGTCAGGAATATAAAGGGACCAATGGGTGTTAGCTTTGGTTGTTCGAATAAAAAAGGTGTCTTTTTTCAAAGTATAATATTTCTTCCAGACTGGTGGGTGATTTGATTTTAATTTAATAATGATATTTTTTAACCGGGGGTCTTTTTGTTGTTCAGATGAGATATTGTTGAATATTGAAATGATGTCGGGAGGAATAGGTGGGGGGAGTGTGTAATGTAGAATGCTGGGGGAGTCTTTGGGGGGTTGATCGTCGCGACCGAGGGGGTGTCTTGACAGGGTATCTATGGGATTGTCTTTCCCAGGACAGTGAATAATTTTGAGATCAAATTCTTGGAGTGCAAGAGTCCAACGGGTGAGACGGGAGTTTTTTAATTTACAAGAGAAGAGAAATGTTAAAGCTTTGTGGTCAGTATATAAATTAATTGGGTGGCCGAGAATATAAATTTTGAATTTCTGACAGGCAAACAGAATACCTAGCAGCTCCAGTTCAGTCACGGCGTAGTTCCTTTCGGCACCGCACAGTGACCTACTTGCGAACGACAGGGTATTGCGTTGGCCCGCAGCGTCAATTTGGAAAAGTTCTGCTCCAAGTCCTATGTATGAGGCATCAGTTTGGATACAGAAGGGAATATTAAAATTGGGATGTGTTAATGATACTTGAAGGGAGAAAGCAGTTTTTATTTTTTGGAAGGCAATTTTATCTTGTTCGGTGAATATCCAGGGGGTGTCTTTACAAATGAGATGAGACAGGGGGTGTAATAGGGAAGCATGATTTTGGGAAAATTTACGGTAGAAATTACAAAAGCCGAAAAATGATTGGAGATCTTTTTTATTGCGGGGTTCAGGAAAATTTTGAAGGGCGTTAACTTTATCGGGGTCCATGATCATACCGGTAGGGGATATAAAGTGACCGAGAAATTTAATTTGTTTTTTATGGAAGTGACATTTTTTAAATTTTAGGGTGAGGCCTGCTAGAGAGATTTTATGAAAAATCCACTCTAGAGTCTCTAGGTGTGTTTCGAAAGCAGGGGAGGATACTAATATGTCGTCGACGT